GGTGGGAGTCCCCACAGCAGTGTGTTCCTGCAGCCTCATGTTGCTCTACACATAGAAGAATGATCCCATCAGTTCCACACAGGGAGCTATATAGATATCGAAATAGAATACAGAGCGCTGATATCAGCTCGGTGCTCACTATCAGCCGGTATCCTAGCATTAGGTCTTAGAGCTGCTTCTCAGCACCCTGATAGAAAGTGATTTGTTGGATTTTTGTCCTGTTGCTGTGGATGAAAGGTGAACATTAAGATCAACTCTGCAGGTAATCTGTTAAATGGGATTTTCCGAGGGGAATGTTTTTTTTTTTTTTTTACTGTGTTGCTAGCAGTTTAAATGAAGAATGTTTCTTTTATTAACTAGAAATTGGCTAATTTAGAAAAAAAAAAAGATGTTACAATGGATTACTAGGAAATTATAACCACCTTAATTGTGACTGAAGTATTAAATGTCTTACACAGCTGTAAAAATATTTAAAGGGTACATTTCTGCCTGTTGAGTCTCTTTTACAGTTCAGTGTACTTGAAAGCAGCTTTGTTTAACATGGCCCACACTGAATAAGATCTAATTAACGAGCTGACATATGCAGTATGTTAGACACAAACAGTCATTAAATTACTAAAAAGCAGATGTTTTAGTGTCAAAATACTGGCCTGCGTAGAACACACGGGTGGTTCTGGATTATTATGAACTCCGTCTGAAGGCAATAAGATGTTATATTGTTTCCTAAGTTTTATTTCTCATTAACATGCAAATGTGTGCAGTCATGAGCTACAAAATCTAATCATGTCCTCTGTAGGTGGAAGCTGAGGTGGCAAGTGGGGGAAGTTTCCATCATGTCTCGCCAAACAGCCACTGATGTCAAGAACAGATTAGTTTGTAAAGTGCACAGATCAGAGCGTTGGGTACTTTCAAATCTTGTGGCGGCTCGGGTCCAAATCCCAATTTTTTCTGTCATCAGACAACAAATCAACTCTGTGGTAAAAACGCAGAAACAAATAACATCTTTTACAGAACCTGTCATCCCCCATGAGGGTTTTCCTGTCTAATGAGAGGCACATAATGGGATGCTGAAGCAAAGCGAACAATCTAATTGTTCATTCAAGCACAGCATTAAGCAGACAAATTAACACTTGGGCAATTTGTCCCGTAGACTGCAGCAACATAATGTGTGAAGTGGGACTTCCCCCCACCTTCTGATACATGGTCAGATTTTGAGAAGATGAAACAATATGCACAGTTTCATTTTTATTTGTCATTGATTCGAGCAAAAAATTCCATATTTTATGTTTGTGGTTCTCACTGAAAGACTTCATGAGTCGGAGTAGTCATGCAAGTGGAGTATTAGTGTTGGAATAATTCTATGTTATGATCCAATGATCTTGTCCCACAAGTTCCTTCAGTGGAAAACAGCATAAAGAGCCTTTAATATTTTGGTTAAATTAACTTTAGTTGTGGATATAGTTATTTGTTTTTGACAGTAAGTCAGTGGATGGAATGTAAAGGCCCAACTTAGGGCTGGTTTACTGACACTCAGGCAACATCTCTATCGTTTGTGGGGGATTTAATTATTTTGGCTTCATTTGATAATGACTTTTGATTTGTTGTTTAGAGTGGTTTGCACCATTAGATTCTGACATCTTTGAGTGGATATGTTCCATCTTGAAATTTAATACCGGCTGATGTCGAAAGTCGAACATGTTTAGACAAACTTGAAATCCCTGGTGGAAATGAAATGACAACAAACTTAAGTAGGAGGCATCTTGTACCCGATACAAGTGGAGTAAAATTTAGGTCACTGAATTTAGAAATGAGCACCCACTCTGTTTTTTGTTTTTTTTAAAATTACTATGCACGGCATGCTATTTTCCACCAAAGTCGAACAAACAAAACGCTTTCAAGCTTTTTTGGTGAAAAGGGGGCTGGACCACATGAGACAGTTATTATTCAAAGGAGAGAATTCCTGCATGTTTATGTTGGGAAGCAACCAAGTCTCCACAAAATTATGTTCTTGTACTAACTGAACATTTGGAATGCAGTTTAGTTGTATGGAACTTAATTTTGTGGAGGGGTTGCAGGAGAGGATCCATCTCTCCATCCATCCATCCATCCATCCATCCTGTACTATTTATCCAGGTCACAGGTGGCAGCAGCCTAAGCAGAGTTGCACAGACTTCCTTATCCAATACCACTTCCTCCAGCCCTCCCAGGGGGGTTCCCAGGTGTTCTCAAGCAAGTCAAGAGATAAAATCTCAACAAAAAGTGTATCCCGGGTCTGCCCCAGGGTTTCCTTACATCTAAGACATCTGGGAGACATCCTAGATAGATGCCCAAATCACCTCAGCTGACCTCCTTCGATTAGGACGACCTGCGATGACACTCTTAACTCCTCCCAAATGGCCAGATTCATCTAAGTTTAACACCCATTGGAGGAAACACATTTCTACCGCTTGTATCTAGGATCTCGTTCTCTTGGTCACTGCCCACAGCTCGTGTCCGTAGCTGAGATTTTGAAAGTAAATCGACCACTGAATCCACAGCTTTGCCTTTTGGCTCTGCCAAAGGGGATTTTAAATAAATCTCAAACTTAATGCCAGCTGTATTGCATGAGGGGACAATTGTTTTTTTGTGTTTTTTTTTTTTTAATTATAGAAATAGATAACGGAAAACTGAAATCTCCAAGTCTATCTCTTTCCTGCACCTTGATGAGAGGAAATCACAGTGTTTGTCCAAATTTTTCGAGACGTATTACTTTGCACTCAATTTATGCAGTTCGGCTTTGAGCTATTTCCTGCTAATGGCACTCTAATTGCACCTCCATTCCACTTGAATGAGCTCAAGAAAAATAGATGGCAGTGATGTTTCACAGGGTTTGCTGATCAGCAAATATTACAGGTGGCTTGGTCTCAGGAGCTTCCTGTTGATCATTATTTGAAATCAGAATAAAGAACGGAATAAAAATTTCTCGGATATCATTAAAAAAAAAGTCATAGATTCATTTAAGAGCTTTGAAGAGACTGTGCATGTGGAGGTGCGATGTATTCAGTGTATCATGAACTTGGCTCTCAGCTGGGAGGTGAGTGCCCGGTCAGCGTCACTCAGTGGGAATTGCCTCTGCAGGTTTGCCTGAAGGCAAGTAATCGAGCTGCCGTGGTGCTGCTCTGAGCTGAGCGTTGTGGTGGCCACGCTGACAGCAGCCATCACTCAGAAATCCTGATCTATTAACACTGTAATGGCAGAGATAGCCGACCATTACTAAAAACAGCAGTCCAACATGTGCAACACGCTGCCACAAAGATGTGAATGTGTAAATTAGGCTCCTTGTTGTTGTTTTCTCTTCTTGAGAGTCTTCACCGAGCTGGAGGCTGTTTCCTCGTTTTTTTCCAGTTTTTCTTTGGCCCTCTCGGCTCTCTTTTGAAATCAGATTTTCAAAATGTCACTTGATGCACAAATCACGAGTAGCCATGTGTGACTCAGGACTATCAGCCTTTGTGTTGCCTGCTGAGGGTTTTTGCTACAAGCCAAGGGTTTCTCCAAAATTTGCTCAGGTTAATGTGCCTTGAGATTATCCCACATAAGCACTACATGCAGTGGATGTTATTGCTTACTGTACGTTCATAGGTTAATGGGTAATGATGGGGGGAAATGGAGCTTTCATTCCATTTCGCAGCTGGTTCTCACAGCATTATAAGCAGCAACTGGTCAACACTTTGTATGTAGTGGATTCAAACTGCGACAAAGTATAAGTTGCTGCTGTTTTCTGACACACAAATTGATATTGCACACATGAGGAATGTGGGTTAAATGTTTCCTGTTTGAAAGTGATACCGCAACAACTTGGCAGGCTCGCTTCGTTTTCAAATGTGTTCCACTGTGTGATATGTTTTTACGGCTGACTTTTAATCAATTGCCCACTGAGCAAATGTTCCCTCGTTGGACATTCATGTAAGTCCAAAGCTTCAATCCATCATTTAAAAAAACAAAACAAAAAAAACACACACAAAAAAAAATCACGGTCGATGCTTCAAAATGTCGCTTCAAGCAATGTCTCTGATAACCGGCAGAGTTTCCCTCTGAACATAAATCATTACGCGCAGTCAGAACAACACATTTTGTAGACAAAATGATGACGGCGTAAACATTTTAACAGCCTTTCAACACTTGTCATCCTCGACTTGCTGAAAAACAATCACCGTCAACTGATTTAGCTCCTGTTTCCAACAGCAGACTCCTCTGTCGGATCCTCACCCGACGTTATACAGTATTTCAACATCTCATTAATTCAGAAATATTTACAGGCGTCGTGGCACTCAGACAGTTTCCCTCTGCTCTCTGAAGCATTCTGTTGATGTTCTCACTTGTTCTGTCTCGTTGAAAAACGGAAGCAATCGGCGCGCTGAAAGGAATTTTAAGTCGTTTTGTTTCAGAGCAACTCAACACCTTCTAATAAAAGACCGTGGTACAAATAATTACTACGTGAAATTATTGCTTTTCTTTCCTGGCAATTATGTAATTGATGATTCATTGCAGAAAATTGGGTAATTATAGTTTTCAATACTGTTAAGTAGCTACTTGAATTGAATTAGATCCATCAGCATTTCCTGAGACTGAAAGGAATTAAGCTGCACAATGCAAAAAAAAAACAACTCAACAATTCCACTTTATTGTACTCCTGTAGTGTTCACAGCACTGTTGCATCTAACTGGGATGAACCCCACAGCTATCCAGATGGCTCATGCATCTGCAGAGTAAAATGGTGTTTACAAGCAGCACCTTCGCAAACTTTGCCTTAATGGGATCCTACTGTTAGCCTAAACACAGAAGAATGCAGGCAATGTCACGGTAAATTAAGCATTAATGTTGAAATGAAGGCGTTTATTACGAGACAAACTATGTCTTGTTCCTTCATCTCTGGAAACACACTCCTCATAAGAATGCCTCTGTTTGTCTTTCTCGTGTCACAGTGAAACTAATTAAATCTGTTTAACGAACCGTGATCCCTTGCAGATTGTTACAGAGGAGAGGCTGACCAGTGTGGCCACTTTGGACTGAAAGTAATGGAATGTAACTAAGTAGATTTACTCAAGTACTTCAGTACAATTTTGAGCTACTTTTTGCTTCCACTTTACTGAAATATTGCCCCTTCTTCTCCACCACTATATATCTGGCAGCTTTATCTATTTTTGAAATGAAGATTTATACAACAATCTTCTAAAGTACGACGCATAGTTGCAGATTAAACCAGTGGGTTCCAATTTTGTGGCTCCTTACAAACAGCAGTGTCACGTTTCAGACATCTGAGTTGTGAGCAGCTCCACCAAAAAGTGATGTTTTTATCTCTCGAAATTTCTCACAACAGTTCAATAAATGTTTAAATGATCCAATACAGCAGCACAAATCAAAGATTAGAGGAAAAAGGTCCAAAAACTGAAAAGAGATTTGTGTATCAGAGCTTTGCTTTTTCTTCTTTTCTCTGCCATTAATCATGTTTGGAGCTCAGATTTATCTGCTGTCAGTGCATATAAAACAGCATATAAAGTGCTACTAACTCTAAGTACAACACTAACATACTGCTGACACACTATGCTGCACTATTAATTATCTAATGAGGCCATATATAATAATATGTCAGCCACAGGGAGCAAACCAGTGCTTTTGTTTTAGTACTTTAACTACATTTTGCTGCTCGTACTTATGTACCTTTACTTAAGTGAGATTTTTCATGCAGGACTTGTAACGGAGTATTTACTTAAGTTAAGAATCTGAATACTTCCACCACTAAAAAATCCACAGTGTTTAATATTGAGACTAAAATGCAGCGTGAGACCCAATAACTTGCATCAGTATGAGAACATATTATCACTTCACAACAAAATGAAGGCATTTTCATGAATTCTGTTTCAATAAAAGTGTAAAGCCTTGTTAGATGCATACCCCTCCATGACACAAAGGTCTTAGAACAATAAGAATACTGATAATGTCTCTTCTTTTATAGACGAACCTAATTTCCCTGAATGCCTACCAACTTCTCAGGGGTTTTTTTTCTCCAGCGTTTCAACCAAGACTGATGCTCGCTCACTGACAAATGTGTCCCCAGTCGGAGAAACAACTGATAAATCCAAGCTTTGTAGGCAAGAGCCAAAATCAATTAAGAAAACAGCGTGGATAAGATCAGCGCAGCTGTATAGGCTTTTGTAGTCAAGTTACAAAAATAGCGCCTCTTAAATTAGCTAATTTCTTCGATGACAAACGTCTGCTGTTTCTAGCAACAATCGCTATTGTACCACGTCGATTGAAAATGACAGCGTGGGATTTCTGTTGGTGGAAAGTTTGACCTGATGTTGATGCAGATAAATTGCTGGTGTAGGCCAAAACAAAAACTTTAAATTGGTGACGCCTGACATATTTGCGTACCAGCTTATATTTTCCTAAACATTCTGGACTCAACTCGAAGCTCCAGTGGGCGGTTTTGCACTTTGCAGCAAACAGTGACTGTACCCGGTGATTGTAAAACTTTGTAATGCATTAATCACATCAGAGAGCAAATGAAATGTCTTCTCCATTGTGTGCGTTGGGGGGTGGAGGTGGTGAAGAGGTTCAGTCATTGCTGATGAGCTCAGCTCTCTGTAGAGCAGCATTGATTCACTGCCGTGTAGGAGACTCTGGACGATTCTAATCACAAATAAAGACCAGAGTTGAAACTAGTGGAATTTAATGCTCTGGAAGTGAACCAACTATTGATACAGAGTCTTTTGAAGGGGTAATAATGTTGATGGAGGTCCAAGCAGTGCAGCCTCGTGGTTAAATAGACCATTCGGTAACTTATGTGAAGGGCTTAAGGATCATTAAGAGCCGGTGAAATAGCTTTCTTTAATACGCTCAACTTGTTTTCTTTCCTCCCTTGTTTGCCTGTTAATTGTAAAAGGTAAAAGTCTATAAAATATTGTCCATTAACTTCCAAACTCTGGTCCACAGCAAAAGTAAATTGTTTTGTCCAATTCCATCCGTGCTGCTCTATACTTGTAAAAGGCATTATTAGTAAAGTGAATATTACCTCTGTGTCTGAATAATGAAGTTGACAGCTACTATAACTAATGGACAAAGTTCTGATTTCTCGACAAAATCACGTCATTCATCACAGCTGTCAACATTTCCTCATGTGAGACTCTGAAAGGATGGAGATCTTGTCTGTCCTTTCGCTAACCTCTCAGCAGCTCTGTCGCACAAGTGCATCCACCATCTTCAACACCTGCCACACAGCTGAGCTTTCTTCCCTCACACAAATACCAATAATGCCAGTAAACTTTCTCTCTCTCTGTCACTGGCAGGTGCAGACATCCAAACAGCATCAAGTGGAGACGTGGAGTCTTTAAAGGTTCTAAATTAAAAGCTTAGATTAACTAAATGGGATGAGATGTTCCGTTTTACAGTTGGCTTTCAAGGCAGTTTTTTCAGGTTCAGTATTTACCTGTGTGGCATTAGAGTCAGTTAATGCAGATATCTGCTCTGAAGGATCAGACAGTTGTTTTAAATTTAAGATGTGATAATAAAAAGCAGCTTTAGATGGATGTAGCCACTGTGTCATCATCGATTGGTTGTTGGAATACCATTTTGAAGCCTCAAATTTCGAATTTGGCCTTTGCTATCTTGATATTTGAGTAGTAACCCAAGACCAGACCTGACTGAAAACCCATAATTCACTTACAATACTTAAAGCATATTCTGCTTTGTCATCTATTTTCATCTATATGGGACCATCATTTACAAAATAAACATCATTTTGTATTTAGGGAGACTTTAAAGTAGTAATTGAGACCATAATCGTATTAGGAAAATGTTTACTGAGGTAACAGACTTCAATACAAACGGAGAGCTTTATGCAACCAGGGCAGTCGCCTCCTGCTGGCTGTTAGAAAGAATGCATGTTTAAGATGTTCAATTTTTAGACCTGGAGGCACATCCATCTTTTATGCAATATATGCCTTAGTATATATTATAGTATATATTTTTAAATGCTTTTTAATTTTGCTTTATGTTAGTGGATAAAAAAGGCAGGGGATTATTCATCAGAGAACCTTGAAAATCTGTCCGAAATTTCATATCTGTCCTTCAAATTGTTGTTAACATATTGCACTTTAACATGTTTGCCCATAAAATAAAAAAAATAAATAAAAAAATCATAGTTAAAAAGTCAACTACTGGCTGTAAACGGATTAAACAGCGCACGTTTTTGAGAGGAGGTAAATCACAGAGGAGGTGGTAATAACTATAAGCAACGTTGTAAATCTAGAAATTAAAGCTGTTCATTTGCTTATGCAAATATCACAGTGTGACTAAAGCAAAAACTGGGTGTTGTTTCCTACTAACAACACAAAGCTTTAGAAACTGTGAGGCCTTTTGAAGCCCACACACGTCTTTCCTTTTCCTTTTTTTCAAAATTCTTTTTTACGTTGTGCTGGTTGAAATGTCTTCATCCTGACAGCATTTGATCAAGCCAGGAAACAAGAGTCCCTTTTCACTTGGTATTTTGAAAGGACAAAGGATGAGATCATGCCATAAGTTGTTTCAGTTCACGATTCAGAGGCTGCTGTGTGTTAGGAAAACTGAGTGTAAAGAAAGGTGGCTTAATTACAAGCAGGAGTGGAGTGAGTCTGACTGTATACTTGGGAATAATTGCAGAATGGGCCACCTCAGTTGGGAACAAGGTTGCTAAGAAGGTATTTAAACCCTAAATTTGTTACCGTGACAAACTAACAGCTCTCAGTTTAAAAAATCTGAAAAAAGTCAACACGATTTTCTCCTGATCTAATTGATATATTCAAATAAAATGGACACGTAATGAGAAACCCTTTTAGTGTGTTTAATATGCAACAATTGAATTATGCCTATTCAATTTCCCAGTTTTACCACTTAACATTTGCACTGCCCACCTGCATGGAAGAGATCCAATATTTCTCCTGCAACTTGGCAACATTCTGCTCCAGCATGTTTTTTCTGGTGGTTTCCCACCCTTTGTCTTCACTTTCTGCTCTCCATCAGTGTTCACAATATGTCTACCAGCAGCAGGACGGGAGTTTTCTTGCTACAAAGAACAACAGGTTGGAGCAGCTCATTTACTCTCTGACTTGTTTGTAAAAGTAACCGGAGTATATGTTTGAATGTCAGCTCAGCCTGACTCAAGGCACAAACAGTACCTGCCCAGGGTTGTTTTTTTTTCCCGCTCTCTGATTAAAACCTAACTGTGCTGCTGATGCTGGAACTCCATTAATCATTTAAAACAATCAATGCGAAATAGGATCCTAAATAACACACAAGGAGTTTGAGAAGTTCTCCTCTACTGATGTGTTATTCAGGACCTCTTGCTCTTTCTTAATCACATTAACAGAGATTGAGACTCAGATGAAATACAAAACTCCATCTTCTGTTTGTATTTCTGCAGCTAGTGTTACTTCCCTACGAGGTTTTCCATCAGGGCTTTCCTTTCAAGTGATCAAATCAGGCGAGCAGAGGTGGATTTCTTCCCTGTCTGCGCACAATGAAGACTTATTTTTCAGCTGCTAACTCCCTTTTCTCTTGTTTTTTTTTTCTCTCCTCCGTCTGTCTTTACAGCTACATTGGGAACCTTGGAATTCAGTTTGCAGTACGACCAAGAGAACAATGCACTGCACTGCACCATTAACAAAGCCAAGGTGAGCTGCCATGATTTATTTAAACATTTTTGCTTGTGTATAACTCAGTTTATCTACCAGCAGTCACAGTTGAACATCTCTGCAAAGTCAGCCTCAGGCTTTTTTGTTCTACTGAATATCATCAGCAAATGTGCGCTGATAGCAGTTGTTTTATATTCAGTTAAACAGATCCCAGTTTGGTCATTAATCACTGTACAAGCAGCTGTCGGTATACACTGACTGACTGACTTACAATTTTTCAGCATTTTTTCAGATTTAAACATGAATATTTTTGCAGGTGCCTGTGTCAACCTACATTTACTGGCAAAAAATCCTGTGGAATAGCAACTTAACACATCCCACTAGTACTTGTGAAAAGCTATTTACATCTACTTTCATCCCAGAATTATCCCTAAAGCATATTGCTAGCAAACATGTCAAGAATCTGCATCCAACTGATAGTTTTTCTGAGATAAATCTGAATTATTCAGTAGATTTTAATGCAACTTTTAGCAAAAAATGCGACAATTATAGGTCTTTGTATCTGGAATTGGTGGAAACCTAAACAGAACTGAGAGGACAGTGATTGTTAGACCTGCGTAAAATATGAAATGGTTGCCTTTTGGCATCTAATATATAGTTTTTCTAAGATAACTGTGTGTTATATAGTGAGTTTTAATGTAACTTTAGGCAGAGAATGGTGTCAGAAATGTAGCAGCTCAAGATGATTTTCTCTGGAGTTGGTAGAGACCAAAACAGAGCTGAAAGGACAGTTATTATTAGATCCGCTGTAAAATATCAAATGTTGGCCTTTTCATACCTAAAGTCATTAAAGACGCACTATCATTAGAGCAGACCTTTATTTTTCATTTCCTCTGGTTCCGAGATATATTTCAATATATTCTGCTGGGAGTCTTTTCTGTTTTCTGAGGTTTCCCTCACTTCTCATAATATTTAGCTGCTTGCTGTCAATGCAGATGTACTTTCTACATCAACATTTAACTGCTTTCCTGATAGTTTCAGTTCAGGACAAACAACAAGCCACACTAATCTCTCAGTTGTTTCTATGTTTCTCCTTTGAACAGAAACGCTGCTCTTCTCTCTAACTAATTAACTCTAATCAGATCTGCCTCGTCGTACCGAGCTGCTGTCAATAACACTCTGCTCTTTCTGCCTCAGTTGTGTTGCCATGCCAATAGAGCTTTTAAGTTCAGTTTTATTGTGCAAATAGCCGCTGCGATCCGAATTGACATTTTCAGCTTCTTCTTCAAAGGTTACTTATTATTATTATTTACAATTATTTATTATTTTTGCAAGAGCTGCAGTCCAGAAGACCTTAAAACCTTTGAGTGTATTAGTGTTGTAGTTGCCTGGTGGTCATCCACGGTGATACTGATGAATTCCTCAATAAATATGTAATTATCCAAACATCTGGCATATTGGAGGTGGACAGCAGCAACTAAACCTTATCTGATTTTTAATAAATAGCCAATTTTTATCTAATATGTAATGAGCGGGGAAGTGTCTTCCTCTGTCATTCCCTCCTCTGTGTTTGTTGTGATGAAGTAGTAGATCTGACAGCCATGGCTGCAGTCAGCAGCTTTAACTCTTCCTATCTGTCTGCCTGAATAGCCGGTACAGAGGAAAGTGGGCATCAGAGGAGCCAGTCTTGGCAGGAGTGCTAGACAGCAGAGTGGGCATCGGGCCATCGTGATTTATAGTGGTTATTTTCTATACCGCTCTCCCTTTAGACTTTAGCTGCTGGCTGGCCAAGCAGGGAAAAACGATTTTTCTCCCGCAAATAATGTATATAGCTATTTCCGTGATTGAATTTGTTTACTAAACTCCTCACTGGTTTTTCTAACCATAGATTTCTTTTGCTGCCAAAGCTGCAGTCACTCCAATAGTTGTTACTTTCCAGGCCGCAATTAAACATTTCACTAATGAGATGTTATGGATCCTGGCTCATGGAAGAATGAGAGATTTATACGAAATAGGGAGCAGGAAACACTTTCAATTCTGTAGACTGATACTTGTGGTTAGACTGGCAGCGCTTCTGTATTTGTGCAGCAGTGATAGCTCACATGTACAATGCCTATATTATCATAGCCTTGGTGGCATTTGGTCAGAGAAATAAATGTCAGTAATTGCAGAAACACAAAAAAAGGTCACCAGACAACATAACTGAAATAAACAAAAGAGGTTAAAGAGGGTGCAAAAGCCCACTGATCTGGTGATTATTCTTACATGGATAAAGAGCTGAATTTAATTTGCATAAAATAGGCTTTTAAAAAGGAACATGTCAAATGTGGGAAACTCAGAGTGTTTATACAACTCAACCTGTTCGACTCTCAATCGCGCTGGTATTCTCAAGCTGGGAAAAGCCCAAAAGAAACAATTCCTTACATTTCTGCTAGAATCCTCATTTCTGTTTCAGGTCTGTGACTACATCATCACACAGAAGTAGTGGATCAGGCAGGACAACTGATTGTTTTATTTAGGGCTATAGTCTCTGGTTGACTGGTTGCTCAATACGCTTTAATCCAACCAAATTCTCATTGGTTGCACAACTGCAAATGTTAGTTTATTTAAGAGGAATGCGATACATCAGCAGTCTTCCAGGATTAAACCATTATTCAGCAATTTTTATCTGGCCCACCCTAATAGGGACTGCTAACTTATTTAACATTTACTGAACTTTTACTTGGAGTCGGCTCCAAACTCAGCCAAGATTTTCTTTGGTTTTCTACAACTGTAGTTTTCTTCCTTGCAGCCTGTCATTGTTGACAACAACCATTGATGTATTGTCGTGTCAACACATATTACAAGCTGTTTTACTGCCAGTGCCAGAGCAGCCTGAGGCCAAAGTTCTGATAAATTTCAAATGCAAGTCTCTAATGAATGACGCCCTCGTTTTCCCACAAACTCCTTGCTGATTAGCTCTTCCTATTTCACAGCATTTTTCAAAGACTTTATCCATCGCAACAGCCGCCATTATTTCTGTTAACACTGAGCATCTTATGAGCTACATCATGCACAACAATTCAAACTGGTCCTAAAGATGTTTCAAATGTCTGCAACTGTTATTTTGATTAGAAAAAAAATAATTACAGATGTCTCTATATTCACTTTGATGGGTCAAAAGGTCTTTCAGACATCTTGAATAGAATTTAGACTAGTCACAGTGTAAATATGATTAGTCAAAATTTGTTGATATTTGTATTGTTTACTCTGGACCGTCTAGCCCAGGTAATAAATGTTTAAACAGCTTGCCTTAGTCTCTGGCATCTCTCTCCCGTTATAATAATAATGCAGATTGGGAAACACAGTAAGCTATGACAGACTGATGATCATAAATTGCTGACTAACATCAATCTGACTAACGTATTGTCTGTCATGTGTCTCAGCCAAGTCACTGCAAAAATGTATGACTTTGTAAACGCCAAATCTGTCACAGTTACCAGTCTTAACAGATACAAATATTGTGCAATCTGAACCCGGCATTATACTGTGTCTAACACATCAGTATTACACATAATTACTAATTGATTTGCTTTGCTGGTAACAGTTCTGTACTTCTTGTAGCATTGACTCTGCCCCTTGGCAAAGTAAATTGTTACTCTCTGCTTAACTGCTTGTAGAGTGAAGTCGGTATTAGAGGCGCTGCCAGTTTACTGTTACTTAAAACCGGAACTTCTCACTCATCATGAGCAGTTTCTTGTCCCCCTAGCCGGCGGACTTCCTCAGGGATCCATCTCGTCCTTGGCTGTTTTAATATGTGTATTTTGGAACATGGCAAAAAAAAATTGCAGATTGTTTTGAAGATTTAAAAAGTTAGATGGTTTGTAGTCTGACCCACTAGATGTCAACTGCAAGTAGAAGCATGCCATTGGTCCCATATTTTATGGCGCTCTGTCCTCCTTCTATGCTATCTAAGCGTCACCATTTTCAGAATCAAACAACACCAATACAGACCCTTTAGAAATGTAGATTCAAGGCCCGCAATTTAAACGATTTCAAGTATTTATTTGTTTATTTTTACATCATTTGAGCTTCCAGCTCTTAAAACCCACGAAAACAGGAATTCAAAAAATTAGAATACTGTGAAGAAATCAGCCCAAATTTTGCAGGGCATGAATGTTTTAAACTGAGTGTCACACACTAATCATTTACTAAACTCGAAGCACCTGCACAGGTTTCCCCAGGTGTCATTAAATTGCTTCAGTTTGGTTCAGTTGTCTCAGTTCAGTTCAATATGGGGAAGACTGCAGACTTGACAACTGGCCAGAAGACCATCATTGATACCCTCTATAGGATTGGTAAGCCACAAATGTTCATAGCTAAGGAGGCTGGCTGTTCACAGAGTGCTGTGTCCAAACATATCAATGGAAAGTCTAGTGGAAGGGCAAAATGTGGCAGAAGAAGATACACCAGCAAAAGAGATGACCATGGGCTTCAGCGGATTATCAAACAGACAAGATTCTAGAATCTGGAAGAGATCCAGAAAGAGTGGAATGAGGCGGGAATCACAGCTTCACAAACCATCACATTCAGACGCATCCGGGAGATGGGCTACAACTGTCGGGTTCCTCAAGTCAAGCCACTTCTGAGCCTGAGCCAACGCAGGAAGTGTCTCAACTGGGCCAAGAAGAAGAAGGACTGGACTGTTGGTCAATGGTCCAAGGTCTTCTTTTCCGATGAAAGTAAAGTGTGCCTTTCATTCGGAAATCAAGGTCCAAGGGTTTGGAGGAAGATGGGTGAGGAACAGAACCCAAGCTGCTTGAGGTCCAGTGTGAAATATCC